CAAGAATGATAAAATGTTGAGATCATGAAAGCAAAAACAGTCACAATCAACAAATTATGAGTTCTTGCAATCTAGAAATCATGTAGAGTACAGATATTGATGTAGGCTGACAGAAAAAAAACGCCTAGTTTTTTAGAAGTCCTAAATGAAAATTCTGGCTCTGTTAGATTGCAAAAAAATCTCCTTCGAGAAAAATGCGAAGCAAAATTTTGTCTAGGAACCGAAGCTTCTTTTTTTTTTTATTACGACGACAAAGAAAACAACTCGATCGTAGAGAATCGAATGAATACATGTGTGTACTTATGCAGAGAGGGTGTGGGTATGGGAAGTGAGTCAGCTTGTCAGCACCTGTGATATACACCGACCTTCATACGTTGACCAACTTCTCACGTCGATGTTCATAGCCTAATCTACATCAGTACCCACACCCAAACTCTACCAATCACACACATGCAAAGAACCACAGCTATCCCTATATCCACACCAAATCACCAAGTATTCAGCATAAGCTTGATCACCATCTGTGATCGAGTCGAAGCCATCAGATAGCACTTTCAGAGAACTATTACTATAGGCTGATTTACCAACGAGAACCTTTGTATAAAGCACATGGCGTAGGTCGCTAGTTGGGTTTGCTGTATGCTGTGCCTGTAGTAATAAGAAGATCATACTAGAGCATCGAACAATACAATTCATCTACTCACCATTTACACCGGCAAACGACCGAGTACAACACGAATATGTGGTCATACCAGCCGCGGCTATTGCACATCCATCAAACAGGCCTTGTTCGGAACTACCGAGCTTATAAAACTTCTTATGACACAGGTATGCTGTATGCTACCGTTGATTTTGAATTCAATCGATTCGACAAATAGTTTTATACATTTCTTGCATGGTTACATTGAAGTTACGCAAAACTTTCGGATATTTATTTCCATGACTATCCAGCTGGAAACAGCGAACAGTGTCAGATTGTAACTCCCTATGGGTTGCTGTCGAAAAAGCGTTACGAATAACTTTCATTTGACGTTGATGATCTGAACTCTACATCAAAGAACAATAGCTTACTTTTGAATGAGTAAGAAAATATAGATTTATCTGCATCAGTCGACACTTTTTTTCGTTGAATCAAGATCGCTTGCGTGTTTATGAATTTCCAGAATAATTTCCTCGGCTACCATGGATGGACCCCACATCAATCCGCCGCAAGTAACAACCGAGACCGCTACAGAATGGTGGCGATTTTTAATGACTTGTTAGATAACAGTATGCACAAATCTATTAATGTTTTTCCACCGAGCCGCTGAATCATTTGCATCGATTTTGCATGGAAGAAAAAAAAATTCTTTGGCAAAGTAGCCTTCCATTGACAGTTTCTATTCCTGTGGCAGAGTATTTGACTGTCGCATTGTAGGCATATTTCACCGAAGATCCAGCTTTTTCAAGAATTTCATCGAGAAGATAATTTGACGTTGTACTCACAGCAATCATGCCAACTGATTGAGTCGTTAAGTCACTTTGTCGAATGTCAATATACATTGCTGACGGTGTGCTCGAACTGTTTCCTTCATTAGAGTAGGTGCATGGTGGTGTTAATTTCTTCTCAAAAGACTTGATTTAAGTTTTTACATGGCATTCATATTCTTTGCCTATCTGTTCAAAACGACAACATTCGTTTGATCGATTGTGAATGTCACAGGTGCACAAGCCGCATCCATTTGCTATGGTTTTTCTGAAAGCTATTTCTGCTAGATGATCTCAAGTAGACAAATAATATAATGCTTTCAGACTAAAATTCAAGTTTCCGCGATAAATTTCTATTTTTTAAATACACTAGTTTGTCAAACGAAATCAAATCTTAGACTTTTCAGGGTGTGAGGTATTGACGTAGGTGTGCGTGCTTCCTTTTCTTTTTCTCTACCAAGCATATTTACACTCCCATAGACATTCAGCACATTCTCATTCAAAGAGTAAAAATGTGCGACAATATATATCAGTTGACCTACCGGGTACACTCAGCGATTTGATGAGCTTCTCTTTCGAATCACAAGAGTTGAATTTATGACTAAAATAAATCAGAAAACAATTCAAAAATTCTGTGTTTTATATAAGAGACTGATTTACGGAATCTACTAAGGTTCACCAGAATCTGATAGAGCGTACAAGCAACTAAAATGGTTAACAAGGGTGTGGATGTACCTTAAACAGCCCTTTCACAATCATTCATATCCAGACCCGTCCGAGACACTTACATTTGCTCACAATTTGAAACCGATAAAATGTTGCCGTTTAATGACACTAATCAATTACCTTGCTGTTTGAATATAGTACAACATTACTTTTGCTCTTCTCGTTTAGTGTGAAATTCACGTGCTTTTATTGAAACCAGGAAAGTTGATAAAAAAAAAATCAAGTAGTGTTGTTTTCTTTCTTCTCAAAATTTGTACAATAGGAAGTAGGTGCACAGTCAATATGATGTAATACTTACGTTTTCGACGTATGTGTTATTAATATTCATTTAAAAAAAATGTCGATGATTGTTTCACGAATAACTTTTGCTAGAAACAACAAAGAGAATTAACGTATTCATCGCGTTCAAGAGAAAAAATCCATGGTCATTGAATGAAGTTGAAGTTTTATTCTTCAGCAATTGATGAATCAAATAAGTTCTGAAAATAACTTATGAAAAATTTTGAGAGAGGAGATGCGATTTTTCTTATTTGTCTAAGATAGTATTCTTTTTTTGTTCAGTATATATTTAAATACAATATCAGTTCTATGAGATACACAATAAAATCAAATACAAAATTAACATGCTACTTAAATCGAGAAAATTAGGTAATATTTGTTGCAATATCTATTGACAAATTTCTACGTATATAGAATGTTCTAAAATTCTATCGAAAAATGAATCTTAATATATTTTGAAATCTTTTGATATTAATATGGATTTTAATTTCCAGTTAAACGAGATCTGTAGCAAACATCATGAACGCATGAAACTATTGAAATCATTATGTGAAAAAGAATGTTCTACTATTCTTTAAGTTTTTTTTTTAAGTACAGAAATAAGAAAACTATCCTAGATGAACTCTATTTGATTTGAAAAAAGACTAGAATTATGTGACATTTGAGACTTGAAGTCCATCAATTTCTAGAAATTATTTTTTTCAAGAAAGTGCAACAGAAATGACCATTCATTTTAATGAGCATCATGAGTAGCTGAGCTAACGTGATTCACTTTTCTTTTATAGAAACATGTAGAGAATAATTATTACAAGGCATGTGTCAAAGATCTAGTCCAATCAAAAATTAAAACGCACAATAAGGTTTGATAGAATTTAAAATAAGTTTCCAATGATGCTTTTAGAGATATTTTCAAAAAATGATAGATTTGTATATTACATTTGTATGTATCCTGTAAATCGATTAAACAAATATTCAATTTTCTTTTTCTTGCATTTTATTCAGTGGCACTGTGTTCTTATAAATCCAACATATGAATTTAGAACGAAAAGTAAAGACATTCACTGTATTTATATGGCATATAAAACACATTCGTAATTGTAAAATATAGTTTTTTGTTTAGTTGAAATTTCTGAATGAAGATACGGTAGCATAAATGCAGAATTATTGAATTAAACACATTCAAAATAATTAATAATCAAATTTGCAGAAAAATAATATTCCGATTGAAATGAACATTTGAAATACATACATATGGATTATTAAATTGAATATTCATTTGAATATCAATTAAAACATTCATATTTATTAACATTTCGTTTTTTTTCCTGTAAATTTAAACTCTAGAAAAAATCCCACTAGTGCTTCAAGTAGAAGAAATTATTTCCAACAAGAATATGAGGAAATAAAAATTAATATCTAGATTATCAACGATAGAATCAGCAGAGAATCAAAACTCGCGTTTTTCACTACATAGAACAAGCAAATATATTCCTATTCAAGTTACATAAAACGATAGAGAAAGAAGTCTTTTTTTCTTATAATGCAGTTATTGCACAAATATAATAAATGCTTTTTCTAATCACTTACATTGATTTAGATATGTACGCCATCTTTCGTTCTATTGCACTCATTGCTTAAAACACTCCAACTAATAGAATAACTGGGAATAAATATATAGAGAAAAGCAGTGCATTTCAGCAAAATGGCTATATTATGTTTTGTATTTCATTTTTTCAAAAATTTTCTTTTTCAGATCGTATTTAACTCAATACACATTCTCTATCGATTGGTAAAATTCGTGTGTATAAATATTGTGAGTAAACCTATCTATAAGGTGTTCTTTGAGAATTAGTCTTCAATTATTAATTTACTTCCGATTACTCCTAATAGTTCACGATTATAATCTGATGATTCATTGAATCAATAGCAAGAAATGAATTTGAGAAGGAATCATATCTGAGAACATTTTTTTTTGAAGATTTTTCTTAATATTATTCGAAGTGATAAAGATAGATAGATGTTTCCGAGATTTTTGTTGGTGAGTGGCGACATGGACACAATAATGGCTTATTTAAACCAATAGAAACTTTTTATCAAGAAGTTTTTGCGTCCTCTCTTATTTTAGCAAGACACAATTCTAAGGAAACATTTAATAACGACGATACATAGAGTCTTGTATGCATGTGGGATACTTTTTGAATTCAACTTTGATGTGCAGTACAAAAGCACATAATTTTTTATATTCACTACTGTTCAAATCATGTCGAGCTTGTGCCGAAACTGTAGATGACGTATATAAGTGCATTTCTTGATGTTATTTTGCTATTCTGTCTTTATTTCCTTTGACCACGTACTGTAAGTTTTTTTTCTTTTCCTCTCTACGTATGTAAACTATAATGTGAGAGTGTCGTCTATTTGGAGGAAGCACCCGTTTACCATTTTGTTAGATAAGAAATATCATTAATCAGATGATGTTTTATTTTTATGTAATAAATAGTGTTTTCTTTTTTTAGAATAAATAAATAATAATGAGTCAAGATCAAAATATGCACAATCCACCTTATTCACCACAAGAAGGTTACCAACCGTATCCAGCTCCACAACCAGTTGGATATGTACCTTATCCAACTCAACCACCAGTCGGATTTGTACCTTATCCAGCTCAACAACCAACTGGATATATACCGTGTCCAACTCAACCCGGTACTTCTTTGAATTGAATGATTTTCATTTTTTTTTATTTATATATTTTTATAGGTGGTGTCTATAGTCAAAATGAAATCTCATTTCAACCGCCTCCTGTATTACCACGTCCAGACTTGGCTAAAAGTTAGTTTTATTTTAATAATTCAAACTCTTTAATAAACTTATTAACAGATTCTCGATACACAAGTGTATCTTCAGGTTGTAAGACTTCAAAAATTGATATTATTTAAGATATTATTCTTTGATGATAAAATATTTTTCTACGTATGTTTTATTTTTCTTTTTATCTTGATTCTGAGAAAAAAAAACAAAGCCACTGTTATGCTTTATAAATATTTATTCATTCTCATGTTCGGTACTGATGACATTAACGAAAGATTTAAAACTTAGGTCTTTATATTGATAAAGAAATTTTCTTTTATAAATAAAATGAAATACAGTTGAAAATTTCGCATTGAAAATGGATTGCGTTTAAAATCTCAAAAAAGATTTGTTATCTTTAAAAACAAAATGAATTATACTAGATTTCAAACTGATAAAAATTCAAAATGCAAATGGTGAAATTCTTCTATGCTTGTATATAACCATCTTTTGTTTTTACATACTACTAGTTTTCTATTTAGATTTTCTTTTACAAAGAAAGAGCCAAGCTCTAATATAACACAAAAATATTCGATCATAAAAGTGATTCATCACATCAGTTTTATTTGTCCGACTTAGTAAAGTTCTTATTGAGAAATATAATTGCGCATAAAAATAAAATTCAAACTATTAGATAAGAGAAAAATTCGAATTTGTATAAGATGTAAATCGTTCAATTGAGATAAAATTATGTATTCATATACGAATGTAGAAATTCATTGCTTTGCTCAATTTTTTGTTTAAATGCTTTTATTAATTTATGTGATTACTGCCTTTATTTTTAAAATTATAATTGAGATTTGTTTTTTATTCTTATAAAGATGATGAACAAGGTGAAGTTCAATGGGGAAATTTTAGTGGTCTTGAAAGCAAAGAAATTCGTCGTGTATTCATTCGAAAGGTTTGTTCTGATTGAAATCTAGAAAAAAATTCCATTTTAATAATGTCACATAAACTAGGTTTATTTTATTCTTATGATTCAATTAGCAATTACATTTGGTCTTATTGCATTATTTCAATTTACGTATGTTTTTTTTTTCTAATAAAAGATACTGAAAGTGACTGTATGATATATAATGTAGACCAACGATTTATCAATACGTACGAAGTCCGAATGGTCATTGGCTTTATTTAGCATCATATGTTACTTTTTTCGTTACTTATATTGCATTGGTTTGTTCAAAAAATGCAGGACGCAGATTTCCACTAAATCTTATTTTACTCGGCATTTTGGTAAAATAAAAAATTAAATTAAATTGCCTAAAAAAAAAAAAATTAAATTTTGCTTTTTAGACATTATCAATGGGTTACATGGTATGATTCGATTTAAACATTATTTACTTATTATATTTTGTTTTGTTTTTTGTGAAAATTTTAGATGGGTATGATAGCAGCACATTATGAAATTGAATCAATATTAATTGCTGTTGGTATAACAGCATTTGTTTGTTTTGGTGTTACATTATTTTCATTTCAAACAAAATATGATTTTACATCATGTGTCGGAATCTTATGGATTATGTCATTGGCACTTTTAGCTTTTGGAATTGTTTGTATTTTTACTTATTCAAGAGTAAGTATTTTTAACAAAAGACAAGATCTATGTTATATTTTGGTTTTTTTTTCTTCTAAATAATATTTATTTCTTTAAGTTATTGTATACAATATATGCTGGTCTTGGAGCTGTAGCTTTTTCAATTGTAAGTTTTAAGAATTAAGAAATCAAAAAAAGAGATTATTTTTCTATTGGTAGTTCTTGGCTGTTGATACACAATTAATTATGGGTGGAAAACGACATGAAATAAGTGCTGAAGATCATGTTTTTGCATCACTTATGCTTTATATTGATGTTATGTATATATTTTTATACATTCTTACTTTGTTTGGCAATCGAAAATAAGATTATGGTTTAACAACGATGTTAAAATATTTTTTCATACTAATCATCTTCATTGTCGTTAATAGTTTTCTTTGATTTCTTCGTTGTCTGTATCCTTCTTGCTTTCTGCTTTCATTATTTTTTTTTATTGAAAGTTCAACTTTGCCTTTATAAGATTTCATATATAAACATCTCTCTCTCTATATATATATATGCTTAATCATGTTTGTGAAGAAAAAACAAAATTTGTATTTGTGCATCTTTGTCATGTCTTTATTAGTTAGAAAACAAAAATAAAGGATAAAAAACCTTGAATTCAAGTTTGATTACAATGTACCTTCACTGAATCACCTGCTCCTTCTTTGTTAGTTTTGCTTAAGACTATGGCAGGTTACTTGTTTTATCATCGTAAATGCAAGGACCTGTAGAAAATGATTTATCAATTCAAAATTTTAGAATTCTTTGAATGATTTTTGAATATACAGAGAATTCCAGAATTATGGAACATTTGTATAAATTTGTTTATAAATCTTGGTTTTCTTTTCACGAAGTTATGGAATTGATAACATGCTAATATAGACATAACTCTCTAGTTTCGCTTTCTACTATCCATCTTCTTTATCTAATATTCTATCTGTAAGAAATCTGATAAGAACGAAAACAAATTACTGTCTCAAAATAGTAGAACATTTCATTAAAGGATCAATAAGTATAAGAGCAGATATTGACTCAATTAAATTCTAACGAATAGCTGTCGCAACTAAGATTTAGTGGTTTTCTTGATAATTTACAAATGTTTTAGCTCATAATCTTAACAAAAACTCGAGATATAGATCATCTATCGACACGAATCCTGTATGGACGATATTTCATGAATACCTTAATAGTTGTTCTTGATTCTTTTTTATCATAGTCAAATCTCTATGAGACGTTCAAAATCATATAATAGAATTGCCCTATTGAAAGATACTGGACACATTGATTGGATCTACTGATATTTATGTTTCATGAGACCAATGCATCTTGTATTAAGTTTTTTACATGATTTCTTAACCAATCTATGAGGGTATGGGTGTGAGTGTCGGTGTACATTAAGCCAAGACCAACACCCACATCCAAAATTGAACCGATCATATAAAGTTACAACGCAGTTCGATCTTTTTTGTACTATAGTAACAAATGATTTATTTTGCTTTTAATTACAATCGACAATATTGCTTGCGATAATTAGTCGTCTTTTGTTAAATATCAACATGATCAACTTCATTCAATAAGTTTTGTCAATGTTTCCGTTTTCTCTATCATCAATTTATTCTTGTCTTCAGCATTTAACTTTCCATCGACTTTTAACGAATATACAACTGACCGAATGTCATGGCTTAATTTGATTTTTCTTCATACTTTACTAGTTTATATATATATATATATAGAGAGAGAGAGAAAGATATGTGTTGCTTTATTGTAAAAATAAGTAAAAGAAAATGTGAACTTAAGTTTCATACAATTATAAAATAAAAATGAAATGATTAAAAAATCTATAGTATCAGTTCAACCGGTATTTGTATTTAAACTCTTCTTTAAAGATATTTGACGAGCATGACGTCGCATGAGATGAATGAGACGAAAAATTCCCAGTTTCATCCCATATTTTACTTGAAATACAAGACATTGATGAAAATTCCACATCGTGTGAGATAGTGCGCAATAATTCATCGTATGGAACGATTGTTTTCTTCTATCCATGTCTTTCCCACCAATTCTTTCTGTGTCATCATATAATTAACGTGGTTTGTGGGCTTGATTCCACGGCTGATGACCATAATATTTCAACAGTGGATTTTGCTTTGTATAAAAACTTAAGCAGAGCTTTCATCAATTCATTCATCAGTATCTTCGACTTCTTCAATTACAATTGTCTTCTTGAAGTAAAATACAAAGAAAACTTCATACAACCCAGGTAAAGTCAAGAGTGAATCTTTTTCTTTTTCACACTAGTCTTTTCATTCCAAGACATTTCATGAGACTTAAACTCAATATTTGCTTGGAACTTATCCTGTATTCGGCACTTTCTTAAAAATCGATGAGTTTATGATTGTTTACATATCTTCTCTGAGGTTTCATTTGCTTCTTATCAACATATACACATCGTTTCATTCATGAATATCGAACGACTTTTCTCGATTGATATGGGTAGGCAAACTATTGTCTCAAGTTCTTACTATTCAAGATTATTGTTATTTCGAAAGCACAAGTTTTGAAGACTTAGGAGATTGTTTTAGAACATCTATACTGAGAAAACAAATGTGCACCCACATTCCTTTCTGTCAAACTGCCACTAACCCGAAAATTTCTCTCAAACAAGCATCAACACATGACTGTAAATACTATAGTCAATATACTTCTTCCAAAAGACCAAAAGCATAGGTTTGACTCATGCCGATCAATGGAGGAGAGAATGAGATGTATGGTAACATGGAAATTAAGGTCTTAATCGATCAGTAGGATACAAAACATACAGAACTTGGTTTCACTATGTAAAACATATTTTTTCGATTTGACGTCGTGTTGATAGATGGACATGCGTTAAAAATTTAACGATTAGAAGACTTTAAAAAGCGCTTTCATGAGCAACAAAGGTGACATCTTTTTTTTTTGTTTTATTGATAGGTTGTTAAGCACTTTTCATGCAATAATTTTATCAAAAGGAAGCGTAAAAACATGTAAAATATGTAAATTGGTGTATACAATGCTGCCAAAAAATCTTTCATAGAATATTAATAATATAATAATAATAAATTTTCTCTTAGGCTTGACCCCCATCGAGACAGATCGCTAATTTTGGATTCAGATATGAGTAGATTCTTCCATCTTTTTCTTTTTTACAGACGATGGTATCTGTATTCCTTTCATCTCGCGTTCTCCCAATGTATGTGTTAGTGACCTCTGTATTTAAGTATTTCATCCTATACACATCTCTAGTACCTATATATATGCAATAGAGCAGAAAATATAAATTTGTAACATCTTTAAATCTTAACGTATCGACAAAAGAAAACAACTTTTTATTGGCTGGTAGCTTGTACTATCTACTACCAAATAATTGTAGTGATTATTAGGTTTTCTAAAGCATTTTATTAGAAAGTATATTTCATATTCAACTGATTAGTCATACTTTCTTCTCTAAACGAATGGAACTTGGAAAAATACCGATCATTAAAGGAATTTCATCATACACGAGAACAATAACATTGTATGAAAAATTCTGATCAGTATTGTATGCAAAAGCTGACGTGCCCATTTAATGTCCAGAAAATTTCCACTTTCTATTGTTTATTTTTATTTTCTATGGCATTTCGTTAACGAGGTTGACTTGTGCATACTATTTTTAGTAGAAAAACATGAATTAGATAAAATAATGTATACTTCATAATTACATGTCTCATCGCGTATAGTGTTAGCAAAGTTTATTAGACATGTCAAATCGGTCACCGTAGAATACGAAAGGTTGAATGAAAACAAATATTCAGACATTTTTATGTATTGGAAGAAAACATGATAGTAACTATCTGTTTGAGTATAAAACTAATATGTAAATATATCGATCTTTGCCATTTATAAACTTTGTTCAATAAAACTGCCTGTGCTTATCTTCAAGAACACTAATTACACAATAGGTTTTAATCATATGAAACTCGGAAGACTAGATCAACAGAGAAAAGAATAGTCACTTAGGATGATTGTAAGTATTTATCGTAGCGCATATTCATGAGTTGAAGTACTTAAAACAATGAAAATACCGGGGAAAATTTATTCGGAGAAACTACGATGATGCTGAAACGTGAATATCATATAAGAACGTGGTGTCAATAAAGAGTGACCAAGAATGAGAAAGAGACACAAAAACTACGATAATCCAAATGCGTCAATGCGCTAAACGAACACAGTTTGTTTTTCGAACAAAAGTGTTTTCTCTATCTATAGCCAAAGGAATGCTTCATGTGACAAAAGTCCTGTATTCAAGTGGGATTATTCTCAAAATAATATTCCTGACAAAGTGGAGACACTTATAAAAACTTGTTCGTCATGGGATATCTCGAATTCGAATTGAAACAAGTAGTTTACACATTCAGTCTTCTATCCAAGTATCTGATCATTATTCATCATAAGACCTCTTTATTGTTTCAAGCACTTAGATCAGTATTCAATTACTTGAAGGAGTATGAACGGACTGTAGCTCAGTCTTCGGAAATCGATGCATACATTTGTAAGGAGAAAAAGGGAAGGTATTTCTTGAGTCAACTTTTTGTCTTGAAAACGTACATTACATTGAAAATTTTGAAAATATGAACCTGATCTTTCACCATTTGAGCCTTTTCAGTGGGCACGTGCAGGTTGATGAATGTGGCTGTGACTGAAAAGAAGATAAATCCCAACTAACACTCTCAACATACTCACATTTGTTTATATTTGGCAAAAATAACAAAATGCTCTGTTTTAGATATTCAAAAATGACTCATGTTAGTAGGGTATCACTTTTGGTGTTATTATTCTTCATCGCTTACATTCAAAATGGATATTGCTGTTGCAAAGCGAAGTTTCGTGTATCGGGTATACGTGTGGAAGGTAAACTTGGATGTTATGGTTGTGGGCGATGTAACATCTTCTGTTGTGATTGTATTGGTGGATGTTGTCCAAATCAAAGATATCGCAGAGATTTGGCAGATTATTTCACAAATAAAGTAGATACAATTGAAGATTCGCTACAATATTTTCAATCGGTTGATGCAAATCAAGATCGAGTTATTAGTCCTTTTGAATTTATTGAATACGTCATAAGTCATAATATGACTCAAAATAATCATGACAAGAATGAACTTACTTCTTATTTCAATCAAATGGATAAGAATGGTGATGGATATATTCAACCAGTGGAATTCGAACATAAATTAGCAGATATTTAAATACTCTTACAGAAAAAAAGACTGCTAATCATTGGTCTCTATGCCTTTTATTTATTTTAATCACTTTGACCATGATCTTTTATTCAGAATTGTTTACTCATACGTGTAATATTATGAATAAACTTTGTTTCTAGAAGATTGAATATCTCCCAACTTGGAAGTAGTCTTATGTTTGAATGTGAGCAGGATTTCTCCTTTACAATATACGTACCTACATTCTCAACATTCTATCTGTCTTGTGATGAATGGTGTCTATTAGAGATGTTGTTTCGTTTTTTAGTGGATGATTTGGATTTCGTAATGCTTGCTTTCTTATTCGAATTTTACTCATTGTACATTAATTCACGTTTGTGAGAGTTGAAACATTTTCAATGACAGACGCTTGTTACTGCTATTGGCTGATGTGAATGCAACATCTAACCTGCATAAAAATTGAGTACTAACCAATGAAGAACAAATAATTCAAGAATTTCAGACATAGTTGGCACATGTTAGTGGATGCTTTTTCTTCTTTGCTAGTATCAGAATTTCTACAGTAACTAAACATATATGACAATTCGAAAAAATACTGTGATTCATTGTGTAGTCAACAAAAATCGATAGCATCCGACTTTTTCCATTCGTACGAAATCTGAGCATGCACTTCATAATACACATTAAAAACTAAGTTAACATGTGTGGATCATTTTAGAAAAAATTCAAAACGTTATAACTCCAGAACGGTTCCATATTTTTGCATGAATTTTGAAATCCGTTGACGGAATTCGATGTAGCTTACTATTAAATTCTAAAAAACGAAATACTGCTAATAGCAAAAGAAAAACTATGGGAGGAGCTTAGGAAAACGTTTTTGATAAAAACTCATCATTTGGGTCCGACATCATCCTCTATAAGTTTCATCTGGGTCTCATACTCTGAAACTGAGATCCAGCATACTGGAAAATCCTGAATCCCATCACTACTTATGACTCTTAAACATAGCAAGAATCGATGCACATATGAATCCTTTACAAACAACGATGAATGAGACGAGTGAAAGAAAGTTTAGATTGAATCTGACCAAATACATTTAGTGTACAGATGGGGGTGAGGTCCCTATTCTACTGGCAAGTTCATACTCCTTCAGTCTATCAAGCAAATATCATTGTTGGGTTCTTCATTACTTTTACTCTTGAAATCCAATATAGAAATTTGTCATGCGTTGACCGAAGCAAAAACAACGAATCAAGAACAATATTATCTATCTAAACATTTTCTCATTTTCTCAACACACGGTTTTGAAAATTTAATTGAGATTAGATGTGACATTTTCCTTGATGAAATCTAAATACAGAGATACACTTTAATGATGAAAAGAAAATCGTTTGTTTATTGACATAAGAAACTACAGGACGACATTAATGTTGTTATATTGTACCTTACTAATTCTCTTTCATTTTTTCACCTCAAATTTCTACATGATAACAGCAACAGATAAAATGCTTTGTATTAAATGCAAAAAACTGAAAATTATAGTGAATTGTGGTGGATGTTCGAAGAATTTGGTTTCATTCACATAAATCAATATCGTAATGAATTAAATGAACAATTAGGGCAAACTGAAGATCAATTTAATGAAGTTAAAAATTCAAATCAATGAACAAAAAACTAATCCAAAAAAACAAGAATTAATGAAACAAATTGATAAATGGGAACAGAAATCTATCGGAAAGATTCAACAAACTGTCAATGATGGTCGCCATGAACTTTTAACGTGTGTGGGTGTGGATCTGGATATGGACTTGGGTGTAGGAGTTAGGTGGGTGTGAGCGCGAAGATGAATTCATCTTATCTTAACCATAGCCACAGCCACAGCCACACCATCTATATGATAAACCCAATGATGACTATACATTTTCTAATTACACAGTGAAACACTTTCTCAATGAAAAGCAACATTAGCTTCAATACATAGCGTATATACGTTAGAATACCCACTGAACCAATGTCAAAGCACCATTGATACGATCCGAATTTCCCTGGCTAGATTGGCTTACTGATCAAAGTATTTTGAAACAATTTTTCTTTTCAAAATACGCTTCTTTTTTCTCTGATCGACGAGTCACGTTCTTTGATCTTTCTTTCGTAAGCAATAGTGCGTTGTCTCTCATTCATATTTTTTCATATTCTCTTCCATATTGCTCATACTACCCAAATATAGGCTTCTCTTCATGTTTCAGTCATTTGTTCGAAAGTTGACCCCTCTTGCTCATTATTGTCTCGGACCAGAATCTATAGAAGAGCGAAAAAGAAAAACTGAACTATGGTTATGATTGGTTGTTTTGTTCCTCACTGCAGTTACATTCTTTCTTTCGTCTCACATCTCTTGCATTTGTTAATTTGTGTTACATTTTCTTCATCATTCATAACACTGACGAACAAGAGATGTGCAAAGAGAACAGTTTTTTGCACCTGGGTAATTGTTATTGAAGCCCTTTCTGTTCTATTCTCATCAGAAAATGTAACTTCTTTGATTTTTTTCATATTAAGCGTCCTCTGAAGAAAAATTGCATTGTCATCGGAATCATCGAAATTAAGATGAATGCATGAGAGGACAGTTCGATGTGTGATCTTTTAGAAAGAATATGATTTTTTCTGTGACACATCCTTTTTTCCTAGAATTGTTGATGATTTCTTTTGAAAAATATGCATTTTTAAATGAAACAAAATGTTTTTGATTTTTTCTCTGTTTATGTTGTTTTTGATTGCACATGACAGATTTCTCTGTGAAACTTTATTCTGTAGGTTTAATTTAATTTTTTTTTGGAAGAGCGTGTAAAGTTACAGTACCTATCAGAGTCCATTTTTTAAATATGGTTTGTTATTATTATATAGAAAAGGTATTTCTATAAATAGGTCCCAATTGTTGGCACGTTCTTTGAGGAATTGAACTTGTCATCGCTTTTTCTGCTTAAAACGTGAGAATTTAGGAAAAAAAGTTGTGGTAGACATTACATCCTGACGAGCTCTTTCAAAAAAAAATATATATCGAATAAAAGGCCAGAGAGATAGTTTTGCGTTCGCAAATGGACTATTTTTCATCCTTGTTTGGTGAATATTTCCCTCAAACGTCATGATAAAGGGCTGATAATTTTACCAAAGTCTCTTCTCTACAACCTTAACATATCCTGAAAATGTCATACGTTTTGAATATATCTGGTCTGAGATCGATTTTTGAGGAGTCCGTGGGGGCCTTAACTGTTCTCATATTGAATGTTTTCTCTTTTATGTTGCAAAAAAAGCCGCCATCATCACAACCAAATCTTATTCACATTTTACTCAACGAAAATGATCGTCTTCGAGGAGAAAAGGATCGTCTTGAAGATTGGGTGTCGCATCTCAGACGACGACTAGAAGAAGCGGAGCAGACACTATTTGCTCTATATGCAGCAGTAGAAAACTGCCACCAGCGCTGCCTCCTCGATCGCCTCGTGATCCGAGACAGTCACAAATGTAACTTTCTTTTGTAACTCTTATTCTTTTTTCCTTACCTTTGTTGCGTTTTTCTCTTCAATAAACTTGAAGAAACACATATTTCATTCTTAAAAATGAGAAAAAAAGAATACCTGTAGTACGGTGGATCGACAGATTTTTAATAGAAACAATGAAATTTATTTCGGCAACCACCTTCTAACAATATTTATTTTTATATTGATTGATTTCAAACTATAGTCATTTCAATGCTTTAATAGCTTTAAGTTTCTTTTTATTTTTATTCCATACAATAATAATTTCTCAACGAAAATGTTTAATTCTAATTAAAATTCTAGTAGTGTTCCTAGTTTATCTCTAATATTCATGATATATTTTTTTATTATCGTTTGTCTAACGTTTTATTCTGAACTTTATTAAAGCCAAAATCTTCCACATGAATATAAGCATCATTTCAATGATGAATCTCAACTGGAATATGAGATAGATAGTCCAGAATGTTTGTACTTGTCAAAAAAGGCATTTTTTTCTAAATGTTAATCATATTTCAACTATTCTTCGATCTCTGGATGATTTTGGTTTAATAAAAAATAAAGATGAAAACCATGGAGAATAAAATAAATAAAAGTTGCTCCAATTCAGTCAACTTCAGTTGTTTCTTTTTTAATGCTTTCAAATCGTTACGAAAATTTGTTTTTTCAATATAGAGTGATCATCCAAATTATTTTCATGTTTTAACTCTAGGATCTTGCCATGGTTTATTGTTTATAGATGATTAAAATAGATATAGTCTTTCTCTCTTATAGCGGCTTAATAATCTTTTATCAACATCTCTTTGCGACAGGAATATCTTGATAAATATTTTTTGATTTCAAACAAAATATTAATCCAATTTTAAGCAGTCAATTTTGTTGCTTTAATGCACAATATACATTGGAAATCGTGGAAATTTTGTAGTTTCTATCCTTGTTAATGAATCTATCTCTTTTTCACTAATTTTTCAATGAAATAATAATCATCATTCATAATGTTGAGTGTTTTGAAATCTTTCAGTTTACAAAACTATCGTTTTGTATTCATCTTCAACATAACTGAATCTGACTAGCTAACGACTTTTTCGAAAAACAACGATAATTAACTGAGAAAATTGGGTGTGGGTGTGGATGTGAGTGTGCAGTCTAGCTGAAGAGACGACCCACACTCACATTCACACCCACACCCTTAATTTATATGAATAAATACAAAGAGACATATATTTTATGTGAAGAACATGTCGGTATTGTTGATGGTTGGTAATCAATACTTGATGCAAAAAATCGAATGCATGTTTTTACTACTGACGAAATCAAAATCTATTTCAAGACATTTCAGTCTGAAGTACGTGAAGTCTTTTTTCTCTATTGAATAAAACCAAGATTTTTCTTGTTTAGGTTTTTAAAAGCAAACATTCGATATTATTTATCAATTACATATGCTAGCAATTTATTACCTTTTGTGCTTTATATGAAGTACGAGTTGATGAAAAAGTA